CATCATCATCATCATCACATTTGCACTCGTTCTTGAATACAGTGTTCCTTACACCGGACTCTTGCTATGCCTCTGCTGCTATCGCCGGCCCAAGTGTCTCTTCGTTGTTGGCGTAGAAACTGCTTCCCCTCATTTTTGCTTGTGCACCATGGAACACGCGATCGTTGCTGCCAGGATGACTTACATCAAATATCACACTTCTCTCATCCACAACATCAACGACTCTGGAGAGTTTCGAATGAGGGACCTTCCATTGGTTGACGCACCGAACGCCAAGGGCAAAAAGTTCAAGGAATTCTTCCACCTCGTAGAGGGCGTGTCTCCAGAAGATTGTGATCGGATTCGCACCGCCATGAACACGGACCCACCCAGTCTTAACCAGTTACCTGATTCAGTTCGCCCTCGAGATGCCCTTGGAGACTCATGTATCCTACAGTTGGCTTTGTCCCCTGATGAGAGCGGCACCTACACGGTTTTAAAGTTCTTTCACTCTACGGCATTCATCCCGCTGGGACTTGCCAAGGCCTTCTGCTCCCAGCAAGTTCGTGTCATCAACTACCAGGTGGCTAGCAACAACGACCGGGTCAAGTGTGCCTTTCTGTACATGCTTCAGCGCATCTCGGGAGAGCAGTGGTTATCACAGTCTCTTGCGGACAAGGTATCTGCAAAGGCCATGAAAAAGGATGACTCCGGAGACGGCAAGAACTGGGAACCAAGTGAAGACGAGCTGCGTGGAGGCATAGATTACATCAACAAGCATGCGCCGCTCTCCAACACCAAAAATGAGCAGTTCCTATGGTGCCTGCTTAATGTCCGAGATCGTGAATCTCCCATCTACGCGTGGCCCCATCACATCGTCAACAAGGCTTGTGTCAACCGCACCTCAGGCAACTCGCAGTCTGAACCGGAGTACTTCTTCCCTCTTGTACTTCATGATCTGAACCAGGACTTCTTAGAGAAGGTCGTTCCTCTTGTGCTTCCCACCATGACCAGTTATGGACTCATCCTCATTGGCCGTCCTGGGGTTGGCAAAACACCCACTGCCATCATCCTTGCTCTTGCAGTCGCCAGGCACTTGGTGGCTACTCGTGGTCTGGAAGGTCACATCCCTGGTTGGAGGCGCTCGAAGCAGATTGACGGCTTCAGGGAGAGACCTGGTGAACTTCATGTACCTGTCCTTCTGGATGATCCGCTTCTTGCGTCGATGAATATGGAAGATGTGAAATCCTTCCTGGATGTGGGTGAGAACACTCTGGTCGACGCACGTTACCGTGCTGCGAAATTCGTGCGTAATCAGTGTCGTATTCTCCTGAACAATGAATGGGGTAGCGAGAAGGAGCCCAAAATGATTGTCGGCAACACCATCACGTGGGATGCCTTCAGAGATATGTTTGGCCCAACAGTCAACAACGCCTCCACACCACACCTGATGGCAATCTTGAAGCGCTCCAGCGTCGTCATTGCAGGCGACCTGGGCGTGTACGTGCGATTGGCCAGTGAGCACCAAAGCCAGGTCATACACCGCTTTGCTGACCACGGACTGCAAGATGACTGGCTGAAGAGCGAAAACAAAAAGTTCTATGGGATGTACAAGGACGGACAGCACGTCAAACCCCCAGGTTACCAGGAGGCACTTGAAGCCGAAGCTTCTCTGGTAAGTGAGATCCTTGCATCCCCAGAAGAAAGAGAATATCTCGCACGAGGGCGCAGTCACGATGAATGGGCCATGGCTTATGGGGAGGACACACCTGCTTTGACTACACCGCGGAATCCTTCGACAGCATCCATGGCACAGAGTCCTAACATCACATCTCCGCCGTTGAAGCATGCCAGGACCTCGGCGTCTTCAGGTTCACAGGGCAACGACGATGCTGATGAAGAGGCCGCCAGGAGTATGCAATTGTTCGAGTGAATACAGCCTCCACTGTGACATCTTCGTCCGTCTTGCACATGGGCAAAAGACCCGGGCAACCACTGCTACATCTTGCACCCTGACTTCTGATTCTGCTGAGCAGGGTAGCTCTAACTAGGATTCCAGATTTTGGCATGATGTCATGCACAACGGTCCATCAGGATATACTCCCATCGCCACCATGCTGCCTCAAAACAAGCTCGGATTGCATCTCGTGTCACAGCAACTGTCTAAGGCCGGTTGATTTGCAGCTTGCCGCAATTCTGAATCACTGTCTCGGATCAAGGGCTTAGTGCCTTGCTCAATGGTTTTGATCGTGGATGGGCTAGCCCCACCTCACACTCCAGCTATGTCGATTCGCAACACAAGCTACCAGGAGTACACCTTCCTTCGAGATGTCTGTCCAGTATGTGAAAAGGCAACTCTCTACTCCTCGCAGAACGAAGTTTGCCAGGCCATCGTCATTGGTTCTGAAGAGCTTACCAACGCGGGCTTACTTCGAAAACGATGCTGGTCGTGCAACAACACAATGAGACATAACATATTGACTCTCGGCAAGGAGACCCTGAACTGCATGACCTTCCAGGAAATGGAGCAATCGGGCGTTCTCTTCATCACTGCCAAGACTGGCTTTTCCATGAAGTATTTGCACCTCACCTACCTTAGATTGATGCGAGCAAAGGCTGCGCCCGGACAAGAGGCGGCCGTGCTAAGCATCTTTCACAAAGAAGATGACCGCATGTTCTGGCGTCAGCAAACGACAAGGGACCATCTACTACATGCTCTGGAGGCGTGGGCAATTGCCAAAGCCAAACCAAGCGAAGTTTTGCAGTTCAACCTGAGCTACCCAGCCAAGCACATGAACTTGTTGCGGAAGGACATCATCTTCGAACCTCCCAAGTCCGTCACCGCCCTTGCCTTCGACGGCCACTTCGGAATACATCGTGCACTATGTGATGGTGTTGAAGCTCCACGAACTGTTCGCAAAAAGGGTCATCCTCGAAAGCTACTTCAGGAGCATCAGCGATCCTGCTCTTGCAAGGCCAAGGACGTCCAAAGGCTCGCTCTTCCGCAGAGAACCGCTGGTTGGCAATTTGTTCTCGATCCAGACAGTCGCCGGGTCCTTGCCGCTGGCGAACATCTTCAAAACGAGACGAACGAGGACAAGACCAGGCTGCTCGAGAAGGTTCTAAAGCTCCCAGGGATGAAGGTCGATCTGCTTCTTCACGATGATGCATGCCACTTCGAAAAATATGTCAAAAGGAACAATCTTGAGGCCTTCAGTGATGTCAAGCATTATGTGGTAGATGCTTTCCATGCTCCCAACCACAAGTGCTCCAAACGGTACTGGACCGGAGCTGTGAAGAAGCGGTGCGCCGAGGTGCGCACCAATCTTCCTGAGGTCTTTAATGCCTGGATTCGCACCCTGAACTTTTTCTTCAACGGCTTGAGACCGCATTCGCATAAGTTCTGGGTTGCCGAGGCATGTAAGTTTTATAACGACAATCTGCAGGATGTGCCACTCAATATTGGCCGCCGCAAAAATGTTGTTGCTCGCAAAACCGTGCGTAAGCGCCCAGGCGCCAAGGCTCAGAAGAAGCCAGCTGCAGCCGCGAAGGCTCAGAAGAAGCCGGCTGCGTCGAGGTTGTAACTTCGAATCTGCACCGAAGCAAGTCAAAACAACTTTCATACATCTGCTGCCATTTGCTTCTTCACGTTGCACCAACTTTCATACATCTGCTGCCATTTGCTTGTTCACGTTGCACTGCTCAACAACACAACTGGTGGCTCTGGCGACACACTCCAAGTTACTCATTCTTCATTTCACGATGCACACACACACACA